GAATGAACGACGAGCACAAATGCCAGGCTCAAACGTGATAATCATAATATGGAATTTATGAACGGCATAATTTACATCCGCCTTGCAACGTTGTGCTGATTTTAAAGTGACATATCAACCTTCCTAATTTGCGCTTCGCATATCATCGATTCCAACTGAACGTGGGCTCTGTCATTTTTTTTTTACCTTTTTTTTCTGTAACCGTATAGGCGTAACGCTGGATGTAAGACTGCCTCGTACACCACTTGAATGGTGCAGCTGTTTGATACATTCAAGTTCGCTTAAATGACTCGGCACAACCATGACCGGCAACTTAACATTCTACAAAAAGCGAAAGATGTGCACAATCGCTGAAGTTTACCTAAATGGCGGCTAAAATAGCAGCCATGGGGCAGAAACTCTCAGGATAATGCGGAAACTACAACTCGAGGACAGCGCAGAGCATGATGTTACGGTAAATTAATGTCCAAGCAAAAAGTTGACTGTTGGTTATTGTACACTTGTAGTCATCATTATCAAACGATTAGTGAACATTGGTATTGGTGGATGTTGACTATTGATAGGCAAGTACCGGCAAGGTGCAGCTGCTGATACATAAAATTATTCTTGATGCTACTATCATTCCTAATCTTGATGATTGATACGTGGGGTTTAACGTCCCTAAACCACCATACAATAATGAGAGACGCCGTAGTGGAGGGCTCCGGAAATTTCGACCGTCTGGTGTTCTTTAACGTGTACCCAAATCTGCGCACACGGATCACTCATAATCTTAGAGTGCCTATCAAATGCACCTCACCGCATTTTGATTCTTCTTATTACTTCAGTGTCATGGTTTCAATCCGTGGTCACTATACCTGCACTGCATGAAGATGCATTTTGTTACCACCAAGACACATAAACGGCGGCTAGTTTGAACAACGGAATAACTATCAAGGGAAAGGAAGTGCAGTCTAGGATGGCAGGAAGTTAGAGTGTTAAAATTTGAAAATTCTCAGGCAACAAATTCACTCAGTGCGCGCAGGAGACTTTAAGTTGAAATATTTGATAGACGCTTCTCTTCCGTCATGGATGTATAATCACCGGCTCACTATGATGATGAATTTCGTGCGTTATAGCGAGGTGAAAATCAGCGCTAAGTTTTCTCGTATGAGTAATTACGCAAAAATGGCACACCCACGCATTAAGCAAAGCCACTTCTCCGGTTGATGTTCGGAGACGTGCACACTCGAACGATCGTTCATTTTTTTTTTTTCACGCAAATGTCGGGAGTGATTCGAAACCTGTTTTATAGAGACCTTCGTCCCGTTCCAAATATCAAGAAGTTTGCGGTAAAGGTGTTGATTACATATAAGGATTTTATTTCTTGTATTTCTTGCATCTCATAGGTACGCCATGGTGGTACATTGGTTACCATACTCGGCTCTAGACACAAAGGTTGCGGATTCGTATTTCAATAGAGGCGAAACACCAGAAGTCCGTGTACTATGTGATGTCAGTGAACAATAGTGAACAACAGATGGTCGCAATTACCGAAACCACACCTTTCACCCATATCGAATTTCCGGCACATCAAACAGTACAAAGTGTTACTATGAGTCATGACGGAGGAGCGTGAGAATAATGCCACGCATAGGAAATTCAGAACCATTCTACCTTAATTAAGCATGCACGGTGTCGAGGTACGGAGTTAATGACACAGAAGGGGGTTCGTGCCGCGTAATACTCGCTTTTTTTTTTCTTTCTTTTAGCAGCTGAAATTTCTGGTAGCCGCCACAACACAAGTAGCATATACCCGAAAAGTGACCTATTGTACTTGACTTGTTTTTTTATTATTTCTTTTATTTTAATGTGATGGCAAGTATTTCTTCACATGCCATTGCAGCTTCCTGCAAAATGACTTTGCTCGCTTTAAACAGCATCAGTATGTGTTGAGAAAAACTATCCCACAAACATTTCCAAAAGCGAAGCGATGAAACCGCTCGGTAGAGCAAAGCAACGCCGCGCAATGTGAAGGCAACGTCAATTTTTCCAAAGCCGTACTGTCGGCAAAGTAGCTCACGCACGTGCCAGTATTGTGGTTGCTGTATCTACTAGAGCTCGGTTACCGCCCTACGCGCGCGTTTTGCGCGTTCCGGATCATTTCTTAATCTGCGTAACGGAACGACACTCGGGGCAATCCCGCCGTTCTCACCTTTTTGTGTACCCTCCGGCCAGGCAAGCATTTGTCGAGGCTTACGTAACAGTCGACTGTGTACAACTGGATTTCGCGTGCGCGCCTTCGAAAACGCAACACGCGAAAATTAAATAGGACAGTAAATAAGGTTTAGATAAACCACCGCGCCGAAACTCCTTCGCAATACAGCGTCGTTGCTCTCCGTCATTTCGAAACCCGCCCGGCTTTTTCTGTCCGCAGTGTCACGCTGCACTGCGTGCCGCACGAAATGGAGTTCACGCGTTCGGGCCAGAAATGACGCCAGCTGTCCGAAACTGGAGCATATACCATTGTATTAAGGGTTGCAGCGCAAGCACAGAAGTGCTAGAATAAAAGTGAACGGGGGGCGAGGAACACACAACGCGAAAGCGCAGTGCAGAGCAAACTTCTCTCTCAACCTTTTGTGCACTGCAGTGAAGTAAGTATACGAGGTGGCGTGACCCCAAGTTTCACTTTCGGGCCAACCTATATCTCGCGAACAAAGTGACGTACGCGAGAACGGTGATATTGCACAGTGAATAACAAAGAAATGGACAAGGCTATTCGAGCAACAAACGCGAAGGAAATGACTCTATGCGGCTTGCATTTCTGTGCACGCAACAATGCATTCTTCACGAAAGGCTTCGGGGCGCGCCATGATTTTCTTTCGCGCGGCGACTGCGTGCAGAACCCACCGCGGCGCTGGCGTCTGCGTAGATGGCGTCCTCGCCCGGAGCGCCGATGCACTATAGCTCTGCAAGCCGCCGATTTTCACGAATGTTCAACGGAGGCATGCCGGAGGCTGATGCAGGCGAACTTGTGGAGGAAAGTGGAATGGGGGGGGGGGGGGGGAGGTCATTTCGCGCCACGAAGTTTCACGGTCTCCGCACGAGCAGTCGGACCGAATGTAATACGCAAATGACGTCGGTGTGCGATTTAGCGTGCGCCGTGTATATATGAGACGGCCTCTTCTCGAAATGTGTGCAGCACTGTCGAAGGTACACTTCACGTTTAGGCAGCGAGTGAAGCAGTTTTGTTCCACTTTTCACTGAGTGTAGGCTCCACTTGAGGTAATGCTGCTCCTCGTTAGATTAAGGAGTTATTTTGAACGCGAAATAAGGTGATAATAAAAGTATCCCCACAAATGATCGACTGAGAACGCGGCTAACAGTTCACACGCATCCCATCAAGCAGTAGGCTACACTGATGATCGCCTTTGTGTTCCTTGGTAATAAGACTTGCGAAAATATAAGCAAAATATGTACTCGAGTAGCACTCTAAGTGTTTTATTAGACGTATTTCTTAATTTAAATACTAGGGTTGTCATATTAGTCTGAATATTTTCAGCTAAGAAACTGAAACGATTGACAACCTTTCTAACATTTCTTTGATATCCATTGGTCACTGTAAGTACGCTACTCTTCGATTGAAACGCAGAAATGTAGGGCTCAGTAATGCACGTACTTCAGTAGGTTGTGTCACGTCGGAGTAATCTTTACTCCGACATTTAGATGAGAGCCAACATTACCTATGGCAGTCAGATTGATAGCGACACGGTGCGGTTATCACGAGAAATTACCTACCGCATTCCTTATAACAATAATAGGAGAAAAGATTCATCTCGCAATTCAATTCTCAAGTATACTGCACATTTACCGCTGTGGAGTATGGACTCGTCACCGAGAAAGTGATAGAAAATGTCTTCGAATTACCCAAAGTTGGTCAGATAAACACGCATCCTTCCATTTTATGCACATTGGCCAACACTAGCATAAGATCGGCATCTTCTAAGGAGACACTATTCAAACGACTACTTTATTTTGTTTGCGTTTGGTTAAATAGCGTTGTCCTTTTAGCACAAGCTTCAATCTCATCTGTAGGGCGCTTTTGGAAAACAAGACAGCACGCAAGAAGAGCACACTGATGGCACCACCTGCCTGCAGTTGCTGCCCGATACTCAGCGTGATGTCATCGATTCTGGTGGCGACCGCTATCATCTATATAACTATGCGTGTTAAAAATTAATGACGTTATATTCGACCATGCAGGAGGCCTAGCATGGAGAGTTTTAGGAAACAGGAAATTTTATTCAACCAGTGAGGTCAAAAGAGAGAGAGAAGCTTGAAATCCGTGACATTCCACAAACATCCAGATGCTAAAACTTTGGCGGGAAATCGAAAAATTCTGAAGTTAGAATTTCACTTTATGAACTAACAGTGATGATAATGATGACGATATAATCCCGACGAATCTCTCAAGCAATGTATTGTGCGTATAAGTTGGTTCAGCGTCTCACTTGAGTGTACCTTCAAAACTTCGAAGTGTCATATTAAAAATTGTCGTTGGGCCAAGTGGTAACTCGTCATATTGTAAGTATTTTGGCACAAGTTCTAAATTCCTCAAAAGACACATTCATACACGCTTCTTTTCAAGAAAAAAAAGAGGTGTAATGTGTCTTCTTGAGTGCAAGCGGTGTAAATCTGTCAGTATTTCGGGAGATTTACAAGTTGTGCCAAAGTTACTTACAATACTTAGAGCTGTCCCTCACATTTGCATGCATGGGTTAATTAGCCGTCTTCGAACAGGCATACGTGTGAATGAACCAATGCCCTGCCAGTGCAGACAAAGTATGCCGCCCTCGACGCATTCGCCCACCATTGTATACGAAATAGTCCTAGAGTCCCAAAATGGCTTTAATGCAATACACTAGAATGGCTTCTGCTGTCCCCATGCATTGCCGGGAGTGAAAAAGAGAAAACACAAGAAACTCTAGTGGCGCACGAGGTGAATAAGATATCGTGCTCACCTGTATGACAAGGTCCGGCACAAAGACCTGCAGCGGCACCAGCTGATCTTCCGTGGTCACGGTGTCATCAACGGTCTCCATGGCGACCGCCTTCATGACCGTGCCAGCACCGCTGCTAGAGGCCACAGGCCGCGACAGGCCGCAGTTACGCCGGCGCCTGCGCAGAAGAGACAAGAGAGTTCACTTTAGCCACGCATCTACGTGAGTGCCCATGCGCAAGGCAATCACAGTAATGCAACAGTTCTTTGGAGTTCGAGGAGCTGGTAAGACGCAACAAGACGCAACACTTCCATGAACACAGAACATACTTTGCCAGAGCCTGCATTCGCGAAGACGTCTTACGCTACAGAGTTGTGTTGGAGACTTAGCCAGTCCTGGGTGTGGCCCTATTGTTAGCGAAGCTAGCAGGAAAATGGCAGATAGTACATATTAATTGAAAACTATTGATTCAGTCGGGTATTACTGAGCATCACGGTCATTTCGCAGGCATCTTGTAGGTGCACAATCATATGCACATCATGCTTCTAATTGAGAATCGAGGCAATCTCTACAGACGTATTACTTCGTCTAAATGATGAGAGAAGCACTGTCATTATGCCCGTCATCGCAAACAGAAGCGTTCCTCTTTTTTGGACCTTGTGGACACCTACTAGGCAGTTGAGTCCCTACTACCTCGAAAATCTTCACTAGACACAGCTCTGTACACAGCTCTGAACACAGCTGTCATATCATTCATGCTTCAGGTGACAGAATTATGTGACAGGTGTTAACATGCGGGTGAAAATTTTGAAACAGGTAAATTGAGATTATGTACACAACTTCAACAGTATGTATATAACTCCGACTGAAACTTATTGCCAAAACTTTCCTAAAATATGAGAAAGAGGGGGGAGGGTCATTTCGCACCACGAAATGCAGCCCGTGCCCGTGCCGTACCTCATCAGACGTCCTGCAACAACACGCCCGGTGTAAGTATCCTGATATCCTTACACACTTTCGATTCTGGCTTTCTATCCCATCTTCTCCATCTCTATACAACCTCTGTTCAGGATCAGACAGCAGGATATATTTCCTATGGTTTGGATAACGTCAGATTCTGTTTTTCTCTATCACTATATCTTCTCGACATCCACAAAAACAAATTTAGAGTTCTGCAAGCTGTTTGTCAAGAAGAAAGAAGCGAAGCTGTTGGTTGGTGTACATTTAGAAACAGTATTGGATGGTGTAATGTAATACATGAATGACTGGGAAAACTTTAGTTAGGTTACAAGCCCGAAGTGGGCCGCTCCCATGATACCGAAAAGCCTAAACCTTTCGACCGCTTCGAATGGCTGGTTCGACTTACCATAGCTGCTCTTCTCATGTAATAAGACTTTAAACTCCGTAGAGCTTCATTGATGTCCTTGTAACTGCTTACCATGGTTGCTCAACTTTACGCAGTGACGAGGACTCTTATGTCACCCTAATGCCACAGAAAATTTCACCGTTCTTCAAATAGAGTTTTTATTCATTCTATTTATTTTCTATATGTAAAATAATTTATTTCAGGAAGTGCCCCTTAAGCACAAGAGACGCCATATTGCACAACGACTGCGATCAGCACAAGAAATTCTTTCGCAATACGCATAAGTTATTTCTCCTCGACACCATGCACGAGAACTTCGGATTCTATAGTTCCATGTCACCAATACTGGAACAGCCATAACTGTAATTTTTGTTTTTTTTTTCAGATACACCACGGAACAAGAGTTCCGTATTGAAAAAAAAAAAGACGACCCGTACACAATACATTGTCCAAGATATCGACTGAAAAAGAAGAAAGAGAGAAAGAGCAGAGTGATCTGTGTAGTCTCTGATTGAACGCCAGAACAAGGGCATTGAATCGCTGCGGCAAGCCACAAAAAGAAATAAATTGGAGCAAGCTTTTCTCTCTGCTTGCAGAGCCAAGAGAACTTCGCGGACTCGCCGCACGGCGATGCTTTTCTATTTGTAACATACGAAGGATTGAAGTCGGCCAGTACAAGAGCGATGGCAGAGGATACATATTGGACAAGACGGGATGAGACGCTGGGCGTCCCACGCCAACGTTGTTTCTCCATGTAGCAGTGAGCACGACGCAAGACACAATGATCCAAATGGAACCGGAGGCGGGCATTTCAATCTCGGCGAACGCTGTGCACAGATAGCCGCGGTCAACTGGAAGGGCGGGACATCTTCGAAACAAGGTGGACTTGAAAGTACTTCTTTAATATTTCTTCCTAAGTGTTGTTGTACTTTTCTCCCTAGAAAGCAATGACATTTTCGTCCCACTTTTGCCAGCGTTTGTTAGAAGTCTGTCTGAGGACATCTAGGTTATCTTACGGAACGGAATTCGAAAGAAGGAACGTTTCGGCTGCTGACAAATGTACTTCGTAGCCCCTAGTTCCAAGAAGACATCATGTAGACTTTGTCTGAAATAATAGTATAATGCTGATTATAACAAAGAAATAAAGGTGAGTCAGTTAGGAAAACGTGATGAAAGAACAACACAGAGAGAGAACGTTTATTAGTAAAGAAGAGGTTCATTGAAGGTGGGGTCCTTCTTCCGAGGCTTCACTGCTTATAGCGATGAATGAGTAAAAAAAATTAAGTATGCACATTCTGCTGACGACTACGTGCGACCTCAATTCAATCTCAATGTTTCTTTCAGACCTGGCAATCTGCTGAACTGCTGCACTTCCTACAAGGAATCAGTGGAGAACCCTTACGCTAATGCCCACGTTCGCCACCAGACGGCGGCTCGGCCAGATTTCAGACCAAGCCATGTAGGTGACTACATTAGGACAAAGCCATGTAGGCGCTCGAAATGGGGACAATACACGTCCATGACCTAGTATCCAAATCACACGGACACTAAAAGAAGACTTACGCGAGACTAAGTTTCGTGACTGTAGCTTGCTGTATAAGGTGAGCTTGGGATACCTGCAACTCTACGCTCTATAGGAGCCCAGCCACTCAAGAGCCATGGGTCAAACAACGCCCCACCTCACAAAGTTCGGCAAATGCTCGCAGTGGCTGCGCAATGGCGCTGCGATCACCAAGGGCAACGACCAAGGTTTTCTTTCCCGGTCCCGCTTTCTCAACCCGAAAATCGATCCTGCAGCTGTGACCCCCAAAAGGAAAACGCTAGCGCGCAGCGCACGCAACGCGGGAAAACAAAAATAATAAAGCATCCGCGACGTGCCGTGAGAGTCCTGTCTTTCGTTTCGTTTTGCTCCCCAGATTTTTATTTCACCACGTGATTCCCTCTGGCGTTCGCGCCAGAGCCCACCTAAAAAGCCGCGCCGCTTCCGTATCGACGCGAAAAAACAAACGCTTCTCGGTCTCTCCCGCGGGGGATTCCGTTAGGCGAACACGCGAGCTTTCGACGCATTAGAGATTGGTCCATGGTTGTGTTTGCCTCGCTTCCTTTTAGCGAGGTCCTTTCCTTCGCAGCGTAACCAAGGGCCGTTTGTATCTACTTTCCCAACTACTCGACTCTAGTGCGGCCCGTTATTTCAGCCCCAATTCCAAACGCACGTAGGAGCCTGGTATACTCGGTATGTGGCGCCCTCTGTAGTGATTTACGTGAGCGAGCTTCATGACTTTCGTTTCACGAAAAGGAACAAAAAAACTTCAGACCGCCCAAAAGAAGGTTTGCATAGATCGTTTTGCAGGAGTAGTCTGTGGAACTCCGAGCGTTTTTCCCACGTCATTTGGTTCTCAGGAAGGCGTACGCTTGAAGTTTACTGGAAACTGTATACTGCGGAGACATCCCCGTGGAACTGGGTACATGAACTAAAATTATCGCTGGTGGGGCGCAGTTGTGCACGTGATTTATGCTCCAAAGTCCGTTAATTTTCCCTTTCCTTCGTAACAATGGTCTACATCCCCCCCTCCTTTTTTTTTTCAGAAGCCGTTGAAGGATAGACAGCGATCAGCCTTCTCTTTTCTTTTTCTTCTGAGGGCACGCGTTGACATACCACCCTTCCTAAGTTACCAAAATGGAATAGTAAACAGACTCGGGGAGTGTCTGTTGTTATTAGCTTCTCGTCAGTGGTCTTCGCGCATCGCTCCTCTCTCTTTCTCTTATTTTTACATTAGCAAGCTTCCACCGAAGCCAAGACAATATCAACGACATGTAAGTCACCAATGCACCTCCATTTTCCCGTTTTGCTGGTTACAAGACACAGATGTGGATATTTTTATATGTCGTCGTAGGGAGAAGGCGAAAGCATCTCAGCATATACGTACGGACACATCGCGGTCACGTGCATAGTTTCCGAAAAATAAGGAATTTTGTTATACCCCTAACGCAATTGCCGTTAACATTGTAGCGGCTACGTCGGAAGGGAACAGCGAGTGACAACATCTGGTTAGCCTGAGTTCAAACTACGTGTGCAGTGTTAGTGCAGGGATGAAATAGTTCCTAACCGGGTAGAAAATATTCTATCTGGGTAGTATTCATCCCTTCCTTCCATGGGATATCGACTGCGTGCCCCTTCAAGGAGAGGAGCTCCTACGAGGCAGCAGTGTTCTCGACGTGTTAATGTTCGACGAAGCCCTATAAGGCATTGACACCAAACTGCTGGCTTCTACGCCAGACCCGCAAACACAAAAGTGCAGCGTTTCGGCTGACATGCGTATGTGCCTGTCCATATATCTTGTGCATGTCAGTCGTAAACGGGTGACACGTAAAAGACATTGAAGACAGATGCACGACACCTTTAAAGACTCAGGCCTGGTTTGCTATATACCTTAAGCTTGGAATAGGCGATGAGAAGGGGCAAAAAAACATAGAGGAAGAGAAGTAAATGTTTAAAGCTGTACGAGCACGTGAGTAACATGCACAGCAACTCTGCACACATTCAAAATGGCTACACAAAAAAAGGATGCTCTGAAAAGTTCGATCAACGTCATGGTTCCACGACATCAGCAAGCGATCAAGTTGAGCCTCTTCTTTACCTTCTTTGACCGTAGTTAACAACAAAAAGAAGTCCTGACATTCAAACAGATAACACGCTATCCTTGATGAATCAATCAATCTGCTCCTTCGCCACTACCAAAACCACTTCCATTCTGCTACGAACACAGGGGCTTCGAGGACCATTATCCACCCTACGGTTTATCCGCGTCTAA